CAACATGCATGAAACCGGGTTTTTAATTATATTATGTCACTTATATTGCAACAATTTTCTAAATACACAATATATATATAATACAATATACAATGTATATGTAAAATTTTAGTTCATATGTTATCAATTTAACTATTCATGTTTCATACGATTAAATAACTCAAAGTATATTGCAATAATCGGTTCTCGCGGCAATGTTTGGGGTATCCTCTAATTTGATAAATAGTGATGCACATGATTGATAGAAGAGGCTCGGGTAGACCCAAATGTGTAACGGCGGGCAGTCACGGTCATGGGAGATGAGCGCAGACCACGGCGAATCATAGCACTTGTCGCGGCCGGACCCTGGTGCAAACGCGTGGAACGGCGGCTGTCTTCCGAAGTCGTAATACATGGGCGACACGAGGAAGTAGACTCGGTTGGCCACCACCCCGCAGCGTGCCGCATCGGCGCACGCCATCGCGCTTCTCCCGGGGCAATCCACGAACAAGCTGTACTCCCCGATGTCGTGCTGCTCCTCCCACGTCATCGTTGCCATGTTGAGGGCATGCACGCTCACCTTCTGCACTCTCGGCCCGATTCCCGTGCGGGTCTCGAGGGGGGTCGGAGGATCTGTCATAATCAGCAGGAGGAGCAGCCGCTCGCCGGCGGCTACCAGGCGGGGCCCGTACCGTAAACGGTCGAACGTGGCGGCGGCGTCCGGGTCCGGGAGGCCGGTCGTGGGCAGCAACCGGACCGCATGACACGAAAGGCGTGGAGCGTTGACAACATGGAGGCGAAACTCTAACAGCTCCACTCGGTCGGTGATGCCGAGGACGCGGCCATGGAACTCGATCACGGTTGAGAGGAAGGAGGCACCACGGGGAAGGCGGTGGGTCGTCCATTGAGGGTCGGGGTTTAGGGTTGGGAAGCGGAGTGAGTCGAATCTGTGGTCGCGGGTGTGGAAGAGCAGCAGGTGGGTTGGGGTGAGGGATGCGTAGTGGTAAGCGAAGCCGTTAGGCAGCGGGACGGCGAGGCGCTCGGCGCCGGTGAAGGCGTCGACGACAAGGAGCGTGCTGCGGTCTCCGCCATACCCCCTTTTGAGGAGAATGAGGTGGCCGCGGGACGCGGAGAGGAGCTTGGATGAGAAGGCGGGCAGTGGCACGGCCACGGGGTCGCCGATCAGGGCAGGGGAGAGGCCGATCAGGCGGGCGGACTGGTCGGAGTACCTTGTGGCTCTGAGCATGAGAGGCGGGATGCGCGGGGCGACGGTGGAGAGGAAGAAGCGCCGCCATGGCGGGCAGGTCCCGGCGAAGGCGGAGAGCGAGCGGAAGCATGTGAAGAGGCGGTCGAGGACGTCGGTGAGCACCAAGTCCGGGAGGTTACCCCAGTCCCGGAGCTCCGACGATACGGGTGGGGGTGGCTGGGGCGTCGTGGCGAGCTCATCAAAGCGCTCCGGCGGTCTCATGGCGCAGGCAGCTTTACATGATTCGTTGACAGAATAAAACGCCACAGTATATAGTACCTGCTGATCCTTGGAAGGACCGCCGGTTAAATTACTATGTGAACAAAGCTAATCTCGCACAGTATACTACCAATGAAATGGCGTTAAAAATTGTTTGGGATAAAGGGAAGGACATGTTTGGCGATGATTACATCGCGGGAGGAGGATTTGGCGTAGTTCTTGGCTGTTTATTTGGATTGGAGGGAGTAGTATATTCTTAGTTGATGAAGCGGTGTTTTTTTTTAACACAGTACAAATGCAAAGCGCTCATACATACGCGCATATACTCACCCTACCCTTAACGTCTATTTCTACTGAAAGCGCATAGCCAGAAATTCTAAAATAAATCCAAAAATAATGTGAGCATCAGGACTTGAACCCTGGTGGGCTGAAGATATCACTGTCCCTCTAACCATCCAACCGCAGAATGAAGCGGTGCTGAATTGATAACGCTTGATCGCTCAACTGTCAGCACTCTAGTACCGTCGAGTGATCATATGGGAGAAATTTTGCGGATATTCAATTTGGCTCTAGGGAGCACATGCTCCTGCGTGTCAAAAATGAATTTTAAAAATAATAATAAAATTATAGAAAATAAATGTGTTTGTTGTCACATCCAAATCCTACCTGCAAACTTTTAGAGGAAAAACTTCAGCATTTTGGCCTGTGCAAAAGAAAAAAAACAAGTCGAATGCAAAATGTTACGTTTAGTTTTGTTTTTTCACTGACGAAGCACTACTATCCCATGCATGCTATCCCATATGGCATGAAAATTGTCAAGCACATTCGGTACACTAAGGGCATCTCCAGTGGTGACCCGCAAGTTTTCTTGCGCATCCGTCCGCGGAGAGAGGGGATCAGTCTGTGGACACGGATGCAGGAGGCCGCCATCCAACGTTGTCCTCTTAAATTTGGCGTCCCTCATTTTTTAAGTCCGCATGATCAAATAGCCGCATACATAGAGTACAGACGTTCAAATAGCCGCATGCAACACTAGTTCAAATTTAAGAAAGTTCAAATATTACATCCCAACATTATTGTCCCGTTTAACCGCCCATTGATGCTCAATCAGATTTTCTTTTAGCTGCTCGCGAGTTGGTCGATACCGAATTTGTTGGTGCGTTTGTTGATGTCGAATTTGTCGGACGACTCAATATAGTGCTTGTATATGTATTCTAAATCAGAATTCATTGCTAAAAAGAAGAAGGAAAACTGTTTTTAGCATCGGCGATTCATCGAACAGTGTTGCCAGGCATGGTGAGTATAACAATAGCGGATGGTGCCTGGCGGGACGGTCGGAGGACAGGGGTTAAACGACGACGGGGGAGAAGCAAGGTGGAGCCGGGCTGGAATGCAGGTGACGGAGACCTAGAATTTCAGCAGGGGTGTGCCGGGGTGGTGGAGCGGCGGCGAAGGCAAGAGAGAAAGAAGGATGGAGAGAAACTGTGAAGGATGAAGGCGCGGGGCTGGCAAGGGTTTTGGGTGGGTCGTGGGTGTCGGAGTCTATGTGTTTGCTGTCCGGACTCTCGCAAAGCTCCAACATTTGTCTCTGCTTTGCAGGAAAGTACGTCCAAACCGCGCCGTGCACTAATACATGACTGTGTTGGATGGCTTCCGTAGTCCGGACAGTGCGGTCCGGACGTATGCGGGCGGTTTGCTGGTCCGCCTTGGAGATGCCCTAACATGAACATTTACCAAAAAAAATCAGAATATTTAAAATTTATTTACTATTTATTTCAATTTTACTATTCATTAGAGAGCATACGCTCCCAGAGCCAAAAATCCATGTCCATAAATTTTGCCTCTATTCTGTCTCAGTGGGAGGTCACATTCTCAGGGCTTGCCAAAGAACACCTGTTGGGTGTGATGAAGGAGCTGGAGCAACTAGATCGGGACCCTCCTCTATTACTCTGGCCTACTTGTATTTTTCATTAACAAAAACTTGGTTTCATTGATCAGTGCAGTGGAGCCGGTGCCTTCGTGCCCCTTTCCCCTAAAACATGCCGTTTATAAATTTATAGGGGACATGATTGGCGGCTAATTAGGAAATGGAAGAGGCGATGATTACGTCGCGCGAGGAAGATTCGGGCGCAACCGAGGGCAGTTCTTGGCTGTTAGCTAGCTAATCTGTCGCCGGTGCTGAGTTGATTACACTCGATTAGCCTCCCACTACTGTCGAGCGAAAGTGAAACCTGGTGCATGATATATGCACCAAAATATTCGACAGTTTTTCAACACTCACTCGATTGCATGCGTGTACTGATGGTGACAATTTCATGATGCCAGGACCAAGCCCGATCGGGGATGATATTTTTCAGTTCATTCTAGCGTCGGGCGCGCCGGACTTGATGTTCGCTCCGGCGACGGATCAACGTGCGTACGTCACACCAAACCTCTGGTCGAAGATTGGCATCTCCAGGACTGCAATCAACCACCCCGCGGTGATCAACATCAGGTCGAAAGCACCTTACAGTAGTTGCAATTATTGGCCGGTGGCTTCCAATCTGTTGCAAGCTTTGCATTTTGTTTGTGAGCAAAAGTTGACTTCGATCGGCAAAATTAGGTCTCATGTTTCATGATTATTTAAACAAACGAGGGGGAGCATCAGAACATGCATGGCTCCCATTGGCAGGCCAGCTAGCAGATAAGAACACATCTTGCTTACTTGCTGCAATTGGCAAAATTGCACATCTGTTCTTGCTTCACACTTCATGTCTTCTTCCTTTACAGTGTGCAAGTTAGTTCTTGTTGTCCACTTCAAGTAACTTAGCTGGACACACTTTGCACTCCGATCAAGAGCTCACCACAATCCCAGGTGGATACATTTTCCACTTTAAGTAACTTCACTGCAACGAACAACTTGTTACTGTATTGCTTTCTACTTCAAGTCGCTGGCACACCTGCAAGTTGCACTATATATGATGCTACCGTATAAGGAAGCACAACAGTGACTCCGTTGGATAGATAGATGCATCGATCTGCCCGCGTGATCTGGAAAGGGTCTACTCGTTTCCCGTGAATGATACCCTTCGAGACTATATATGCATATATAATCTTGCATTATTGTTGCTTGTAAATTTTAGAACTACGGGTGAGAAAAAGACAGCTGCTATTAAAATGCTCTGGCATGCTTGTCTGAATGCCTGTGGCATATGCCAGATTCCGCAAAGTCTGAAGTCCCAAAGTGCCAGGTCAAAGACAACCCGGAATGCAAATTTTTTTTTTGCCATTATATGATTCAATAGTTTGACGCTTCTTAAATTGGAATTATTCGATCTCAGCTCTGTTTATACAAATTTCTCGTGACATCTACAATGTGGTTTTACTTCCATCATGTCATCAGGTTTACACAAAGATGAAGATGTTGCAGAATCGGTCTCCAAATTAAGCGTCTAGATAGTATTTCAGAAACTAAATATGTATGTATATAAATTACGAGAGCATACTGAATTGTACTGTAGATGAAGAGACTTTTAAGCTAGCTTCTGGACGAACAGATCTTCGATCTGCTTCAGGTTCAGGCGTCCTGGAACTCCAGCACCACCACGGCCTTCGGCTTGCTCCCGCTCTGGCTGCGGAGCAGCCGCCGCACCGCGGCGATGAGCCGCTCGGCCGCTGCGGGTGACGACCGGCAGAAGGCGGCATGCCTCGCGATCGCTGCCTCTACCTCCGCCGTAGCCGACGCCGATCCTCCTTCCACTACACCGCAGGCGGCGAGCTCCTCGCCCACGGCGTCGGCGCAGAGGCCGCACAGCCACCGCCCGGCGTACTGCGCGCGCACGCCGGCCGCGTACGCCGCAGTGCACTCCTCCCTGAGCCCGCAGCACGCGCAGGCCGCCCACTCCACCTCGGCCGCCGAGGCAGCCTCGATGGGCGGCGCGACGTCCTGCGCAACCACCGCCGACATGCCACCACGGTGGAAATAAAACCTCCCTCTTCTTGGATCTTGGTCGAGGGCGGCTCTAGATCAAGGCCCTGACGCTGATTCCTGTCGCCTCTCGTGCTTGGACGGTGTCGTTAGAGGAAGACGAAGAGGCGGTAGTCGCCGCGGGCGAGGGGGAGGAGCGGCTGGTCGTCCATGGACGAGGTGGAGGAGGTGGGTGACATCGGAGGAGCTCGGGCTGGTGGAGCAGCTCGCTCCGCGACGCGTCTTTTGTATGCGACGAGCTGGACGGGGGGGAGTGTGACGTGTAGTGCGGGTTCAAATGGCGGGCCGGGGACGGGGTGAGGTGGGGTGGGCCCACCAGCCAAATCATTGAGGTATCGCTTTGGGTGTTCGATGCGGTGCTTCGTCTAGCTGGCAGTGATATCTTTTTTTTGTTTTTGTTTTGAGAAAAGCTGGCAGTGATATCTACGTAGCACTTCCGGGGAGATGCTAATCTAGCCCACGATATAAAGTTCGAGAATCCGGTGGATATTTTGGTAAGGTATTAAATTGCTTTTCAGTCTTGCTAAGTATCAGTCGACTGAGATTTAACGAAGTCTCGGTCGACGCTACATTCGTGAGATTTTACATTGAGATTTGTACAATTTGTTTTTCTTTTTCTCTCTTACATGTTTGTCACTTGACTGATACTTGATTAAATCTTAGTCAATTGAGACCTAGCCACATCCATTTCTTTTTTGAAGGGCCCTGTTAACTGGCGAACGTTTGTTCTCAGGGAGGGTGGCATTTGCGATTGTTTTAGGTGGTTTTGTAGTTGTGAGGGGATGGTAGTTTCTTCAGTGCCACATGACAGTTTGTTTAGAGAAGACTTTTTTGTTTTAAAACCGCCACCGTTTGATCTTTCCTAACAATTAAAACTGCCATCAAATGCAGTTCGCTCGCCAGCCCTCTCAATTGACGCTCGCTGGCTAACATTAGCCTTTTTAGGGCATTTGCTATTGGTAAGTTTCCTAAAAATAAATTGGAATAAGTTGATTTTATGGGGAAGAAAGTTAGGAAAGGTGGAGCTCCAAAGCCAAAACGGGGGCGTCGTGGTGCTCGCTGGCGAGGCATGAGGACGGCAGAGAGGCTAAGCCGGGAACGAGCCAGAGCCGCCACCATTGTGGTTCGTCACATTGTCAAATGCGGAGGCTACTCCGAGGCTTAAGAGTTACCACACTACTAGGAAAATGCTTACCAGTAGTGCTGGTTTTTGAGCTACCAGTAACGCAGGCACCAGCGTTACTGCTACGGCGCTACAACTATTTTGTAGCAGTAGCGCGTTTTTAGGCCAGCGCTACTGGTAAGTTCAAATACTAGTAGCACGTTTTCAGGCCCGCGCTACTGCTAACATTTATGCTTTTTTTTAGCATTTTGGCGATGTACATGTTTAAATAGATATATCTTTTATACAATAATAACTTATCATGAACTAGTTTGTTTAAATAGCATATTCATTACCACTTGTCGATCATCACCATCAAACAATGTTCGTCAATGAGACATCATATAACAAGTTGGTCACTAGTCATAATCACAACTCCTCATCATCATCATCAACTCTAACACATTGTAGTACATAATAACACATTCTATTTACGACCTACTCCTCTCATAGGACCTACTCTACCCTCTCTTAGGTAAAATATCATAAAACAAGATAGGCATTGCCGCTGCATTAAGGAAAATTGACTCTCCATAATAAAGAACGGATATCATCTTGTCTCCAAGTCTTGGCCTACGCACAATGTTGCTTCCAAGTAGCTCTCTATGATGGTTCAATTTTTTTTGAAATCGTCTATTATCGTGACTTCCTTGCTTTTAGAAATCCGGTATGGACAGGAGTGATGTGGATACTGCGGCTGACCTGGCCGTGGTGGCCGTAAGCTCATAACATTAACGCGACCTCTCATCAACATCAGATGAGGCACACAATCCATCGGGATTTTCTGTTCAAAAACATAGTAATAACTTGGTAGTTAGCAATATAGTTTAGTTTTAGAAGAATTTATGCAAAAGATGCACAGATGTCGTAATAGTAGAAAATCTTACCATGATATCTCCATTGATGTTACCGTAGTTCAACACATGCACTAGTGGCACGTATTGACCATAATGTGGAGGAGTTTGATAATAGCTATTGTAATTCTCAATATCAGTAAAAAATGCGATAAGACCATCTTGCTCCTTATAAGTTAATTGTGCTTCATTATTGTAGTATTAGGTTCTCTCTAGCATTTTCTGTACATTTTTTGAAGAATAAAAATAAGCTGTCAATGGAAATAAACTGTCAAATATTTTGAAATAAACAATATAAATTACTTAGTAAATATGTTTAAGAAACTCACACAGCGGTAGAACTGGAAGCGTGTCAACAAGGACCCAAATGGTCATATCATTTTCGTCGATGTCAGGATCACCAAGATCGAAGGTGAGAAGCATACCCTCATGAAAATCATACGCCTTGCAAAGGGCTTCCCAATTCAGGCAACCAAAATTGGATGAGTTCATAGAATTGTATAGATTTACAGCAAAATCATAACCATGATGGGTCCTTAGTTGAATTATCTTTGTCTCCATTCTTTCATGATCTTCAAAACCCATCTTCTCCAAGACATAGTGTCTTGCATGGCATGTGATAAGCTAGTCGAATTGTAAAAGACGGAAATTTCATGTTGAAGAAGTAAATAAGTCGTGCAAAAAATAATAGAAAAACACTTGTCGTCGTTGCGTACCGTTTCAACATCGAAGATCTCTTGGAGCTTGATGCTGAAGCGCCGACCTTCTACCAAGTGAGACCTGACGCACAGACCGCGCTCATCTTTGCAGTAGTCGCACATAGCAAATTTCCTTTCGTCGTCAGACATTTCCTAATAGGTAATTAATAATTCATCATCGAATACATATATAGTAGTTTATAGCATAAACCACGCTCATCTTTTGCATTCAATAAGCAAATAACTAATAGGTAATTAATAATCCATCATCGAATACATATATAATAGTTTGTAGCAAAGATCATCATATAATATCACTAATACATCTTGAATAATAGCTCCTCTAGGTTCAGTGGGCCGCGGTGGACACCCAAAGAGAAGGAACCATCACCGGATCATAGCTCCGATGAGATCCCCAAAGAATCTGCCAGGTATTGGAGAACCGGCCGTTCGCCAACGCAACCAAGTAGCGCTGGACGTGTGCGTTCTCCTCCATGACACGGTGCTGTACCACCTGCGCGGGGGACTCAAGCCTCTCCATCGATGCAGCCCCACGTGACCGCCACCAAAGAAGCTCTGGGTCGACGACGGGCTGGCTCCTCACTAAGCTGCGCTCACCAGAAGGTAGCACAACCCAGTACCAGCCCGGCGGAGCCCAGTCCCGGACATGGCCCCTCGGCTCAACCAGGAGTCCTCCGCCGAGTCGACGACGAGGATGCGGGATAGGCATCGTCGATGTCGAGAACAAAATGCTTAATTATGAAAACAAAATTAATAAACACTTAGCAAAATTTGGCATGACCTTTGCTAAAAACAGGACATATCGAGTGCCTGAAATTTGCCAGAACGTAAACGAATTGACATTTCTGGCAAAACATAGGCCACTTGAAAGAATATGACATGTCCAAAATGTGACATGTTCAAAATATGCATGACATGTCCATTGCAAATTTGCATATTAACAGGAAAAATTGCTTTAACTAAAAAAATAACAACAATTGCTTTAACTAAAAAATACCTAGAATTCTATTAACTACACCTAAAACAACTAAAACACCTAAAATTCTGTTAACTACACCTAAAACAACTAAAACACCTAAAACTCTTTTAAATACACTTAAAACACCTAAATTCTATTAATTACACCTAATTAAAAACCTAGCTAAATTTCTATCCTAACTTTAAAACCTAGCTACATTTAAAAACCTAGGGTTCATACGAATTAACTAGGGTTCATACCTAATTTGTCCAATCAAGGATTCGATCATGCATAACCTAAATTATTCTAAAAACCTACATTTTTAACTAAAACACCTACAAATTTAACTAAAACACCTAAAAATTCAACTAAAACACCTACATTATTCTAAGAACCTACATTTTTTAACTAGGATTCAAAATAATTAACTACTCTCTAATAACTATAACTAGGGAGGGTGGGAGGAGGAGGAAGGAGGGAGGAGTACCTCTCGGTGGAGGAGGGCCG